CTCATAAATAAATAGTAAGTTTATATAAACTTAGTAAGTTTTTATTTCGGTATTATACATAATTTTGAACTTTCACAATGGTTTTTAATTAGTAAATTGTGTATAATTTAACCCAATAAAGTCAGAAATGATATTTGTTTCCACTGGGGTCCTCGTGACGTAGAATTATGTAGACTGATTTTTATCACCAAAAAAATATATATGTGCCTTCTTTGCCACGGGGTATATACACCGAGATGTGTATTTCTCTCAGGGTGTGTATATATGGAGAAAGAGTTTTCTTTGATCCCTATTTTAGGGGTTAAAGTATTCTTGTCTGGTGGTGACTTGTTTATACTCAGTTTAAATGGTCCTAGTTCTTATCTGTTTGTGGTTGCAGGAGTCGGGTTACAGCTCCTGGTCCCTCCTCTTCACTGGTCGCTACTAGGCCCACTCTCTCCCTGCTTCATGAGCTTTATCATGCTTTTCCTTAAAGCTATGTATGGATCCTGCCTCCACTACATCACTCTCCACATTATTCCACTTCCTGACAATTCTATGGCTGAAGAAATACTTCTTAATATCCCTGTGACTCATCTGAGTCTTCAACTTCCAGTTGTGACCTGTTGCAACCCCTGAATGGGTTACAATGTATATGATGTATATAATGTGTATGTGTATAATTATTACCTTTTCAAATAATTTTATATTGTTTATATTTGCGATAATAGCTAAATCGTGAATATATTGCTTTATATTATTTGTCTTAGTTACTTTTGTTAGGTAGGATGTAACATATTATTATGTGCTCATAGTTCGTCTTGTCTAACTACTGTAATTATCGCTCTTTGCTCGTTTCCCTGCCGGCTTCTCGTTGTTGCTGGGCAGCAACTGTCCACGGAGCTATCACGTGATAGAGGGGGGGGGTGTCCTCACCTCGCCTGAAGTATTCAGTCTGGTCTAGACTCGCTTGGTGGTTGGACGTATTCTAAACAAGACGAGCCTAAATCTCCCTTATTGGCCCTTGTTGGAAGATTGTCTCTTTCTTATTATTGTTGTTAGTTCTGGAGACTCTGTTCACAGAACCTTGTATAGACTTAGTGATTTTCGACGTTGTACTGAGGTTGTGTGTCGCATAGACACTCTAAACAACTCAGGTCCTGAGCTGTAGCTTCTGACCTAACTTGTACTGGTATCTGTGTATTATCACAGTCGGGGGTTTTCTTATGCTGAACTTAGCTTCAGTAGTATGGGAGTTTTGTGACTTTTGTGGAGGATCTGCTGATGCTCCCAACTTAGTGTCGTTATATTATCTCCTTGTTCCTGATTCTGTGTCACTTTTGCTTGTTATATTGCCATGAGGCTTAGCATTCTTTTTATTGTTCAAGCAGACTGTTCTGATTGCCAGTTGGTCAAGAAGTTAGTTTATGTGAAGACTTTGTCAATCACTTGTTTAAGTCTAGTCGAGTCGTGAGACAGCGAACTACTTAGAGCACTTACACACATACACACAAACTTATTTGTATATTGTATTATTAAATGTTAATGTACCAGACGGTACTTAAGACATAAATGTGATTTATTTTTTTTTTTTTTTTTTTTTTTACACAGGGTTTGACAGGTTAAGGATCCCTAGCTTTATTGACAGCTATGTTACAGGTTAAGGATTCCTAACTTTATTGGCAAGCTAAGAGCTGTTACCTACATCAGCTCATTTGAAAGCATTTTTATTGTTATGAGACATACAAGTAGGAAACAGGATGAAGTTGGAGCCATCTGTGGGCCAGCATTTTCATTTGATCAACTGACTTTATCTCGTTGACATCATTATGCTGTACGAATGTGTTCCATACTCGAGTCATCCTGGGTATGTATGATCTCAGATGGAGTGATGTTCTGGAGAAGGGTACAGCCAGAGTGAAGTTGCTGCTTTCTGCCCGTCTTGTGGCATAAAAGCTTGTTTCACGCTGTCCTCGAAGTGGATCCAAGTGTGGTATTTTGACAATATTGGCCTTGTACATAACAGTGCTATTAGCACAATATTACTGTACACGAGAGAAGTGATTATTCTTATTTTGTTGATATTGATTTAATTTAATTTGATATACGCCTAGACAACTTAATTAATAAATATATTAAATTTTAATTTCTCTAGTTAGTAGCCTACCAGTTGTAATCCTGAAGCACTATTAATTCTTATTGAATTCTAATGGATAATTGGACAAGGATACTGACTAATTGTTACGAAAACCCAGTAACAGGCTGGATGCTAGAAGGGCAGTCCTTCCTAGTGTTCACTGGAGATCTCTAAGCTTTTAGAATCGCGTTTTTTGTAACATGACCCCTTGTTGTTGTGTCCCATCTCTGGAACATCCTGTCGTTAGTCGATAGGCTTCAAACCCTCCATTAACCACGGCGGCCCGTGGCTTGGTGGCAAAAGCTCTCGCTTCACACGCTGAGTGTCCGGGCTTGATCCCCAGTACGGGTGGAAACATTAGGACGTGTTTCCTTAAAACATCTGTGTCCCTGTTCACCTAGAAGTAAAACAGATACCTGGGTGTTAGTGGACTGGTGTGAGTCGCATCCTGGGGACAAAAATTAACCTAATTTTCGGGAAATGCTCTGCATAACAAAGGACTTTCTATATAGTAGTATGTCATTGATGTCAACGAGCTGAATACGTTAGATCTTACCGATTTCAATTCAGTGTAATAAAACTGATTTAGGTACAGGTACATGTAAGTGTAATAAACACACATAGTAACATGAGTATAAATACGCACGTAACCCCTCATATAGGAGAGAGAAGGTTACGACGACGTTTGGGTCCGAGTTGGACAGGATATATACTGGCTCCCTTACCACCTTGTGTCAGTGTGACCAGTGAATGGTCCAAGGCGGACCGAAACGTCGTCGTAAGCTTCTCTCTCCTATGTGCGGGTTATTTGTGTATTGTTCCTGTCACTGTATTGTGTCTTCTGTTCTGTATTTGTAAATTACCTGCCCGGATAACCCACAAGAGTCACACTAAGTGACTTATTTCCATTGGGGTCCTTGATTTACCTCCATTGGGGTCCTTGACTTACCTCCATTGGGGTCCTTGACTTATTTCCATTGGGGTCCTTGATTTACCTCCTTTGGGGTTCTTGACTTACCTCCATTGGGGTCCTTGAGTTACCCCCATTGGGGTCCTTGACTTACCTCCATTGGGGTCCTTGATTTACCTCCTTTGGGGTTCTTGACTTACCTCCATTGGGGTCCTTGACTTACCTCCATTGGGGTCCTTGATTTACCTCTATTGGGGTTCTTGACTTACCTTCATTGGGGTCCTTGACTTACCTCCATTGGGGTCCTTGATTTACCTCTATTGGGGTTCTTGATTTACCTCCATTGGGGTCCTTGATTTACCTCCATTGGGGTTCTTGACTTACCTCCATTGGGGTCCTTGATTTACCTCTATTGGGGTCCTTGACTTACCTCCATTGGGGTCCTTGATTTACCTCCATTGGGGTCCTTGATTTACCTCCATTTGGGTCTTTGATTTACCTCCATTGGAGTCCTTGATTTACCTCCATTGGGGTCCTTGATTTACCTCCATTGGGGTCCTTGACTTACCTCCATTGGGATCCTTGACTTACCTCCATTGGGGTCCTTGACTTACCCCCATTGGGGTCCTTGACTTACCTCCATTGGGGTTCTTGATTTACCTCCACTGGGGTCCTTGACTTACCTCCATTGGGGTCCTTGACTTACCCCCATTGGGGTCCTTGACTTACCTCCATTGGGGTCCTTGATTTACCTCCATTGGGGTCCTTGACTTACCTCCATTGGGGTCCTTGACTTACCCCCATTGGGGTCCTTGACTTACCTCCATTGGGGTCCTTGATTTACCTCCATTGGGGTCCTTGACTGACTAAGACACTCTTGATAAATGACGACTATTTGTTGTGTTGCCATAATTACTGAGAAAAGTCTTGAAGATACTTGAGTGTGTTGAGCTTCTCTTAGTGTTAAGACACATGGGCAACACGTTTCGCCAGACAGTGGCTTCATCAGTCCATTTGAGAAGGAGTTTCAGGCTTACAGTCCCTCAGCCTGGAGTCGATGTAATCAGTCCATCAATCTTGAGATTAATGGACTGATTACCTCAATCTTCTTCTGATCTTCAACCATTCGTCTCTGTATTTGACTGATGAAGCCACTGTGTGGAGAAACGTCTCCACAATAAAGATACAAAAGAGTTGCCTAAGTGTCTAATTTATAAACTTGTCGGTTTTCTGGGCTGTTTATCTCCATTCGTTAGAATTGTTTTACGTCATATTTTTTTAAATGACTTATTTAGAGTGAGCTGGATAGTCTAATTAGTGGAATGAGTTAACAAACTTCAACGCTTGTAAAATTGTACGTACGTACGTACTTCAAGGTCGTCCGTGATGCAAGCTGTGTTGGCCAAGAAAATAATCTTGGGGGGGAATTGTACGGAATTTTTTCCTAGAGGGTCAAACCGCTAATTTCCCCGGCAGTAAACATGCAGCCAATCAGAGTACACATGAAGCCGGGGAGGCAGCCAATGGCGAGCGAGGAAAGCGGAAGTGAGCTGAAAATTACCCGGCTTTGTTGTCAGTGGCGAGGATATATCCCTAGCCTCGGGCGACCATGCTCAAAAATACTCCTTTTTTGCCTCAAGTTTGGGCAATATATGAGTATATACAGGCGTGTATATACGTATATATAGGTGTATATATACGTATGTATACGTAGAGCGGTGGAAGAGCATTGTTAAGGGCATGGATTGTGAGATTACGCAGGAAAGTGGAGGGGGAAACTGGTCTTTTGATAAGGTAGAGCGCTGGAGGAAATGGCGTGTGTGCTTCTCAACATCCGTCGCGTGTTGGTCGTGTGCGGGTGGAGAGCCAAGCGTGACGCCCCTTGCAACCACAAGCTCCCGTCATCACCCCCGAGGCTGTCTTCCCGCCCACACGCCCTCCTGGTGGGCGGAGGCTCGCCCACCCACAACCGAACGCCCCACCAGCCCGTCTCTGACCTCGTGTGCTGGAGCTGTGATCTGTACGTTGTGTGCGTGCTGGAGCTGTGATCTGTACGTTGTGTGTGTGCTGTTGCTTCCCTTCAGTTCACGCACCACCAGGGTCTGTACCTAGCTGTACACCACCAGGGTCTGTACCTAGCTGTAGACCACCAGGGTCTGTACCGAGCTGTAGACCACCAGGGTCTGTACCTAGCTGCAGACCACAATATCACCAGGGTCTGTACCGAGCTGTACACCACTAGGGTCTGTACCGAGCTGAAGACCACCAGGGTCTGTACCTAGCTGCAGACCACAATATCACCAGGGTCTGTACCGACAGACCACAAGAGTCTGTACCGACAGATCACCAGGGTTTGTACCGACAGATCACCGGTGTCTGTACCAACAGACCACCAGGGTCTGTGCCAACAGACCACCAGGGTCTGTGCCAACAGACCACCAGAGTCTGTACCAAACTGAAGACCAACAGACCACCAAATAACTCACCTAACAACCCACGATCTCACCCAGATGACTGATAACTCATTCTACCTTACGAACGACTGACAAAGGTGCCGTCCACAGGTGATACTCATCGCGTGCCGTGAACTCCTGTGTGCGTGTCACGTGTCGTACTGGAGTGGCACTGGCACTGTCTCTCCAGTAACCTCAGGTGAATGTCCTACACTGGGACCCTACATGAATCTAACAGTGAAAAAAATAGATTAATTGAAAATATCAGGTGAAAATATCCGGTGAATTAATTACAGGTCGTCAATAAACCTGATTAACGGAATTATAACATTAATTTTTACTTATCTTGAATAAAAAAATTATTATATATCAAAATAATCAGTGTGCAAAAGATAAAAACGAAACCTGGACTGATAACTGAAACCCAGGCGAAAGAAACCCATATATTAGGGCCTCAATCTGAGCCCCTCTTCAGTAGATAAGAGTTCCAGTGACTTCAGCGTTACGTTTGTGTGTTTGTTCAAAAGAAGGAAAAGACATGTGGTATGACATAAAGTGATGTGGAACACTTAGAGCAACTTAAAGAGCGCTTAAAAAGTGAATTCAGCAACACTTAAAGACACTTTTAACACTTTTATGTAAGGAGAAAGTTGCTTTGAGTAACTGAGAAGGAGAGAGTTGAGATGTGAGATGTGGATATAAATAGAATGTAATGATAACTGCTGAGAGGAAAGGGACTAATAGAGAAGAGAGGGACTAATAGAGAAGAGAGGGACTAATAGAGAAGAGAGGGACTAATAGAGAAGAGAGGGACTAATAGAGAAGAGAGGGACTAGTAGAGAAGAGAGGGACTGGTAAAGAAGAGTCCATACAGAAGAGAGGAACTGAGAAGATGGGAGTACCAAAGATGGGCCAGGACGAGAGTGCTTCTACTGGACCTGTGACAGATGGAGGAAAAGTGAGTCAGGATGGACGAAAGGTGAGCTAGGATCGAAGAGAGGTGAGTCAGGATGGAAGGAAAGCGAGTCAGGATGAGCAAAAAGTGAGTCAGGATGGACGAAAAGTGAGTCAGGATGAGCGAAAAGCGAGTCAGGATAGACGTAAAGGGAGTCAGGATGGACGAAAAGCGAGGCAAATCTCCAAACAAAGTAACTAGACTTTAAACAAAGTATTTTTTTATTTAGAATTCAGACAATTATTTATATTTTAGAAAAAAAGAAATCATTTGGGCTCCTGGCAAGACAACCTACAAATATACACAGGGTGTTTCAAAACAATAAACATAATGTCAAAGTAGATTGACCTGAAATACCCTATGTTATTATTGCTGTAAGTGAAAAGAAGGTAGTCACCTGGAGAAAGCCGTAGATTTCGGCTATAGTAAGAGACCTTCTTCTGGTTTCAATAGGTGAACGTTTGTCGCATTTTTCTTCCAAGCATTTATGGTTAATCAGGGCATTTATGACACTTTGGCCCAAGTATTTATGACTGATGTATTTATAACACTTTAATTTTAGCATTTATGACAGTTTTACTGATGTATTTATGACATTAATCCTAGCATTTATGACACTTTGATTCAAGCATTATGATTGGTATTAACAACTGTCAATGTTCCAGGTGATGAAGTCGACTGAGGAGAAGAGACTTGATCGGATCAGCAGTTGCATGGAGGAACTGTCAGCTCTGTTGGCTGAAGAACGTCGTGCTAAGACTGATGATGGCTGCAAAAGTGCCACGCAGGAGAAAACTGACATGCTGGAGCTGACAATGAGGCACTGGCAGAGTGCCATGGCTGTAAGCAGTGCCAGGAGCAGTGACAAGGAGGCAGGAACTGAAAGAAGTGGCCACACTTCAGACCCGGGTAACAGTAGCTACCTGAAAGGGTACAAGCAGTGTATACAAGTGGTTAATGATGTACTGAAGGCCAGTGAAGGACCAGACGCAGAGTGCCTCCGTCAGGAACTTGTGCAGCATCTGTCTTCGAAGGTCCAGGAGCTGACACCTTCATCGGTGTCAGCTGGGGAGAATGCCAGGGCCGGTGTTCCCGTTATCTCCCCTCCATCGGCGTCTGCTGAGACAGAGCAGAGTCACCCAGCATCCCTAGAGAATGCAGCCAACATATCTGCGATCCACGGACATTCAAAGAACAGTGGTCCATCGAGGAAGGATACAATTACTACCACGACGGCCATCACTCTCCAGACTTCCCCCTGTGTTAAGCACATCAACAAGAGCGAAGAACTCAAGACCTCGAAGTCTCTGGCGCCTGTTGCGCGCTGCGCTGGCTGCCAGAAGTCCACAGTAACAGCAGTCAACAGCAGAGAGGAATTCAGTTGCTCACAGCCGCCCATGACAGCACACTCCAACTTCCACAGCAAAGTGTCTCCGGTACCTAAGACACTTAATCCAGCTGAAGTAAGTCACAATGACGTGAGGAATGAGTCCCATCTGGATCTCTTCCAAAGACCTACAAAGTCACGAAGACTTCTGGAGAATGAGGAATGCGCTGAGACAGACGTTATCTTAGTATAAAATGGAAAATAGAGTTAGAGAAAGGCGAAAAAAATATGGATGGAAAGAAAGCAATTTAACAATGTCAAAATTAGGTGATACAAATTTAAGTTAATGGGAGTTTGAAGTCTATCGACTACACGAGGGTCATTAATACTGTGTGTAACCTTTTCACCACCAATCAAGAATGCTTTCAACTTTAATTAAAGAATTAAAGTAAACTGTCAGTGTATATACTCTGAGGGATATACACCTCTCAGTGTATATACTCTGAGGGATATACACCTCTCAGTGTATATACTCTGAGGGATATACACCTCTCAGTGTATATACTCTGAGGGATATACACCTCTCAGTGTATATACTCTGAGGGATATACACCTTCAGTGTATATACTCTGAGGGATATACACCTCTCAGTGTATATACTCTGAGGGATATACACCTCTCAGTGTATATACTCTGAGGGATATACACCTCTCAGTGTATATACACTGAGAGATGTGCACCTCTCAGTGTATATACACTAAGATATATACACCTCACGGTGTATATATCCCTCTTTCAGTTTAGTTGTGAGTCGTAGCCAAGAAATATTTAATAGGTTCGGACATTACTAAAGACAAATACAACTGTCATTCACGAACAACAAACAATCCTGAGAGTGAACCTTACACGACGTTTCGCTCCTTCCAGAACCATTATCAACTCACAACTGAACGAGAAAACTGAAAGAAACCCAGATATAACCGGGACCGGGTCATTTATGAGTTGCTAAAGCCACGGCCACGGAACAGTCTCGAACACAGGCAAACAATTGAACCACTATTACTAGGACTTTCATGAGACTTTTCGCTCACTAGCAGCTTTTTAAATTCAATGACAAAGCTACCCTTGAGCGAAACATTGCAATGATAAATGTCCTAGTATCTAGTATCAAATATTCAAGCGACGTTTCGGTGCAACAAAGACAGAAACGTTCTTCACAGGGGTGCGAGATGTTTGTGAGGTGTTCCAACCCGTGGTGTTGTGTCCTTCACGTATGACGGAGATCCCAGTGGGCGAAACTTCTCACTAATAAATGTAGTGTTCCTTTTTTGTTTTATTGCGCCCATCAACGATGTTTCTCTCAAGAAAGAAATATATATTATATATATATATATATATATATATATATATATATAATATATATATATTTATATACATAATATGATATTGCATATATATATAATATATATATATATATAATATAAAATATTATATATATATATATTTAAATATATATATATACTATAGCAAACAACACGGGGATTGAAGATACCTTTCATGGTGTTGCAATGTTGGAGTCAGTTAGATCGTTACGGAAGAAAAATGCCCTGATAACTTTAGGGAAAGTTGAATGGGTGGAGAGAAGGTTTACGAGCACTGTCTTGAGCACCCAGCATGTTTTGCGTGATTGTGATAGACCAGTGAATCTTGAGGTGGTGGTATTTCGGGGGAGATGATTTGACGTGGTTGACTTGACTTTTGTAAGTGGGGGAATCACGGTGCCTGTACTCTCAGTGGGATAGGGATGTAGTGGTTGGGTGAGCTATCCTTGGCTCTGTGGTAGAAACAGCTAGGAAGTGAGTGATGATAAAGGTGCTCTCTTCTTTTGTGTCTTGTAACTCTCTCTCTCTCTCTCTTCTCTCTCTCTCTCCCTCTTTCTTTCTCGAAGTTCGATTTACACACACACCACAGGAGCTGAGTCTCGACCCCTGCAACCACAATTAGTTGAGTACACACACACACAAACACACACGATTAGGATCTTGGAGGAGAGACAGAATTAACCTGGTAGCCATCAGCGAAGAGGCGGGGGCCAGGAGCTACGACTCGACCCCTGAAACCAAAAATAGGTGAGTACAAATAGGTGAGCACACACACACATGTGGAATTTCCTGGGATTCATCAAAAATAAGACGTCAGGAGCTTGCAATGCTGTGTGCGTGTGTGTGTGTGTGTGTGTGTGTGTGTGTGTGTGTGTGTGTGTGTGTGTGTGTGTGTGTGTGTGTGTGTGTGTGTGTGTATGTATGCAGTGTTTGTTGTTGTTGTGTTATAGGGGCCACAACAGCTTAAGTCGTCCCTGTAGCTGAAATATTGACAATGATCTCCGACACAAAGGAAAAGCCTGTCACTGACTCAATTAAGGTTGTGGACACTTAGTAATAATGGAAATAAGGACATTAATGGCAGGCAGAGGTTGGATTATGTCCACGTAGCCTAAATGGGAACACTTTTTACCCGTTTTTATTCCCAACGGAACTGTTTATTTTTCATTTCGACTCCCAGATTTGAGGAATATTCAATCTGAAGTGACCAAGAGACACTGATCCATACGGCGCGAGTTGCCAGTGGCCCTAGAAACTAACAACAATAACAATAGCAACAAGAACAAGAATAACAAGATTCCGTGTAAGTGGGAGGTGTAATGAGTAAGGGGGAGGTGTGGTGAAGGGGGTAACTGGCAGGTGTAAGTTGAGGGTAGGGGGGCCGACGTCCCCATCAAACGCGTCACTGAAGCGTTCGGAGAAGGGGGTGGGAGGGGAGGGTAAAGGGGTAATGGAGGTTAGATGTGTAACGCACGTGCTTTCTGGGGTTAGACCATGGGGGAGGCACGTGCTGAGGGAGGGGGTTGGGGACGTGCTGAGGGAGGGGGTGAGGACGTGCTGAGGGAGGGGTTGGGGACGTGCTGAGGGAGGGGGTGAGGACGAACTAAGGGAGGGGGTGAGGACGAACTAAGGGAGGGGGTGAGGACGTACTGAGGGAGGGGGTTGAGGACGAGCTGAGGGAGGGGTTGGGGACGAGCTGAGGGAGGGGTTGGGGACGAGCTGAGGGAGGGGTTGGGGACGTGCTGAGGGAGGGGATGAGGACGTGCTGAGGGAGGGGTTGGGGACGTGCTGAGGGAGGGGGTGAGAACGAACTAAGGGAGGGGGTGAGGACGAACTAAGGGAGGGGGTGAGGACGTACTGAGGGAGGGGGTTGAGGACTAGCTGAGGGAGGGGGTTGGGGACGAGCTGAGGGAGGGGTTGGGGACGTGCTGAGGGAGGGGTTGGGGACGTGCTGAGGGAGGGGGTGAGGACGTGCTGAGGGAGGGGTTGGGGACGTGCTGAGGGAGGGGGTGAGAACGAACTAAGGGAGGGGGTGAGGACGAACTAAGGGAGTGGGTGAGGACGTACTGAGGGAGGGGGTTGAGGACTAGCTGAGGGAGGGGGTTGGGGACGAGCTGAGGGAGGGGTTGGGGACGTGCTGAGGGAGGGGTTGGGGACGTGCTGAGGGAGGGGGTGAGAACGAACTAAGGGAGGGGGTGAGGACGAACTAAGGGAGGGGGTGAGGACGTACTGAGGGAGGGGGTTGAGGACGAGCTGAGGGAGGGGGTTGGGGACGAGCTGAGGGAGGGGTTGGGGACGTGCTGAGGGAGGGGTTGGGGACGTTGTGAAGGAGGGGTGTGTGAATATATGTGTAGTGTGGGGTGGTGAGCAGCGTAGATGGGTTCATTAAGTGGGTTGATAGAGTAGGTTGATAGAGTAGGTTGATAGAGTAGGTTGATAGAGTAGGTTGATAGAGTAGGTTAGAGGGCAGCAACACAGTTATATCCTGGGCACTGACTGACGAGTGACAACTGGAATAGTGATCAAAGATTCCAGATCAATAGTGGAGAGAGAGTAAGGTAAGGATGATGGAGGGAAGGTGATGGTGGTTGGAGGGAAGTGATGGAGGATGGAGGGGGGATAATGGAGGATGGAGGGGGGTTGATTAGAGGTGAAGGGTGATAAGATGCCTTAGGTAAGTGCCCTAGGCTGCTGTGTCCTGAGGCAGTGAACCACCCTGTGTGTGTGTGTGTATGTGTGTGTGTGTGTGTGTGTGTGTGTGTGTGTGTGTGTGTGTGTGTGTGTGGTGTGTGTGTGTGTGTGTGTGTGTGTGTGCGTGTGTGTGTGACTGAGGGACTGATTACCTCACCATTTGCACATAGTTCTACAGTCTTCCCATTATATATATATATATATATATATATATATATATATATATATATATATATATATATATATATATATATATATATATATATATATATATATATATATATATATATAGGTGATGAATGGCTTGTGATGGGTCTAAGTAGAAGGTCATTAATTTTTAAAGGGTTGGAGGGGTAAGCCAGGGAAAGGCCTCGGCCAGATGACCAAAAGCTCTAGCTGTTGGTCATCATGTGACTAAGACCCGCGTCAGGAAAAACCTGTTTTGTTTCCTGACAAACCTAACCTAACTTAACCTAACTTAACCTAACTTAACCTAACCTAACCTAACCTAACCTAACCTAACCTAACTTAACCTAACCTAACTTAACCTAACCTAACCTAACCGAACCTAACCTAACCTAACCTAACCTAACCTAACCTAACCTAACCTAACCTAACCTAACCTAACCTAACTTAACCTAACTTAACCTAACTTAACCTAACCTAACCTAACCTAACCTAACCTAACTTAACCTAACCTAACTTAACCTAACCTAACGTAACCTAACCTAACCTAACCTAACTTAACCTAACCTAACCTAACTTAACCTAACCTAACCTAACCTAACCTAACCTAACCTAACCTAACTTAACCTAACTTAACCTAACTTAACCTAACCTAACCTAACCTAACCTAACCTAACCTAACTTAACCTAACCTAACTTAACCTAACCTAACCTAACCTAACCTAACCTAACCTAACTTAACCTAACCTAACTTAACCTAACCTATCCTAACCTAACCTAACTTAACCTAACTTAACCTAACTTAACCTAACCTAACCTAACCTAACCTAACCTAATTTAACCTAACTTAACTTAACTTAACCTAACCTAACCTAACCTAACTTAACCTAACTTAACCTAACCTAACCTAACCTAACCTAACCTAACCTAACCTAACTTAACCTAACCTAACTTAACCTAACTTAACCTAACTTAACCTAACCTAACCTAACCTAACCTAACCTAACCTAACTTAACCTAACTTAACTTAACTTAACTTAACCTAACCTAACCTAACCTAACCTAACCTAACTTAACCTAACTTAACCTAACTTAACCTAACCTAACCTAACCTAACCTAACTCAACCTAACTTAACCTAACTTAACCTAACTTAACCTAACCTAACCTAACCTAACCTAACCTAACTTAACCTAACTTAACCTAACTTAACCTAACCTAACCTAACCTAACCTAACCTAACTTAACCTAACTTAACCTAACTTAACCTAACCTAACCTAACCTAACCTAACTCAACCTAACTTAACCTAACTTAACCTAACTCAACCTAACTGAACCTAACTTAACCTA